GAATATGGCACTCATTTCTAAATCCAAGATGGCGGGCACGATTTTTCGAATAATGGCAAGTTGGGTATCGTTTCCATTTTTTTGTCATTTAATTGACGCCGTTAATTTGAGTTTTTTCCCACAATTTGCAAAAACATCAATTTTAGTTTATTTTAATTAAATATAGGGGTAAGCGGTTAAATAAAACATAAGCATTAAAGTAAGAAGTCGTCCTGGAAGACTGGATTTGGTAAATATTGCTTAAATAATTTTTATTTCAAAAAATTCACTTGATCCCTAGACACTTTTGATGTGTGTATTTCAAACTCCGCATTGTATGAATTCCATTGTTTTTAATAACATGTGTAATAAAATTTTCTTCATCTTGTAAAGTTGTCAAAATTGAGATAGTACAGATTGCCAGTTCACAGTCGATGTACGGCTTTCTTTTGTTACCGCACCGAGTTATCACCATAGATATAGGGTTTTACCATTTAGAGTTACAAAATATATTTATTTTTGGAGGGGAGGTTCATAGTCTCTGCCTGCCTACCCCAGTGGGAGACAGGCGTGATGATATGTATATATGTATTTGTATTTTTGTACGAAAGTATAATCTCATGTATTATTTAAAGTTATGGAACAAAAGTTGTTGTTTAAGATATTAGTAATATAGTCATGGGTGGTTGTTAGTATTTAACAAATAATCTGCTACACGTCGTCTACCGTATCGCCATTACCTAGTGGAGGTTGTCGATCAACATCGGTCACAACTGCGTATAAACCGATCGAGGCCATTTTGGTAGGTGATCGAGGCCGAATTTTTCAGCCTCTCACAAGTACACAATGTACTCTTTACTAAACATCAAACACGTAATTCCTACTTCATTTTCTTGTTTCAGGTAACTCAATTAGGCCCAAGCGACGAATTGGCACCTTCTGGATGTCTCCAATATTACAAAGAATCACAGGGAAACTTCGAATCTTTCAACTACAGAGACAAGTCTGATATCGCTATTCCAAGGTCCCCAAGTTATTTGGTATGTGGTTGTTCAAAAAGTCCATTTCCGAAAGTAAGAATTACGACAAATTTTACTATTGACAAAATTCACTTTTTAAATACAACCAATAATTTTCTTTTGAAATATTTGTAACAATTGTGTAGGCTGAGTGTAACACAATAAAAACAAAACTTTAGAAATTCTTATTCAATTTCTCTCGCTTGAAATGATATTATTTCTTACAGAACAACTTGAATTACGCGATGTGCCTAGAAAGATCATCGAGTACATGTAGTGTGACGTACACTAACGCGGGCGTAATGCAGATCGTTAACTATGATTCTGGTAAATGTGAGAGGTATTTTACTAATTTTCAACCACGAGCTACCAGGAAGTACGTAAATACTTAGCTTCTATTATGAAACTACTAGTGAAGGCTCTGAATGATAAAATACAACAGTTGTTAATTTCCTTATTAGAGCACGCTTTGTTAATAACAGTAGAGTGCATTGTATGTATTTAATGTCTTTTAAATTACCACTGAAAGTGTAGGGCACACTAGTGCAATAGGTATACCTATACAACATACAGCTCTGTTCTTATGCTGCCTTACCGAGACCTTTGGGAAAATGCCGCGTTTTCAAATTTAAACTTATTTTCAGAAACTTTAATGATAATTTTCCGTACGTTGACTAGTTACTAGTAGACATTAATGTTTCAACGTGCGATACCATCGGAAATAGTGCAACTACGCGTAACTAGCATTGGAATATGAGTTTCCATTTCGGTAACTTAGTGGCCAAATCTAATCCGCATAAAGTTGTGGCAACCAAATTAGCGTGATTTACGGGAATCTATTGTTATTTGTCTATAGAGAACATACTTTGATGCTTACTGGGCAAAAATGAAAGTCATACCCATTGAAACAACAAAGTAATAACGTTTATCCCTCTCCCGTAAAATTTGGTTTAGTGCATACGCGCCTTTATCAATGCTACATACTCGGATTTGCACTATCCCCGACGATTGTAGCAATCTTTGACTACTGCCATATGCACTTCTGGTAAAAAAAAAAAAAAAAAGGTACATTACGTTGTTTGTGTTCAATGATAATCATCAACAACCCATTTACACGTCCCACTGCTGGGCACGCGTCTCCTCAAAGACGAGAGTTTAGGCCGTAGTCCGCCATACTGGCCCAATGTAGGTTGGGGACTTCACACGTTTTCCGAGGGTTGTGAACCTTCTTCGACGTGCAGGTTTCATCACGATCTTTCCTTCGCCTAAAAGTTCATGGTAATTTGTAATTCAATTTCGCACATAAATTCCGAGAAACTCAGAGGTGCGAGCCCGGATTCAAACCCACGACTTCTACTTGAGAGGCGGTAATGATAAATTGCCCCGTAATGACCGTTTCACAGATTGTTTTGGTACTCACGGATATTATTTATGAGCAAAATACCGAAAACTAACAATAGGTTACCTATCAGTAGTTCGAAATGACATTTTCCAGAAATAACGTTTGCTCGAATTTTCATAACCTCGAAAGTAATTTTGAGAAGAAAATGTTTTTTTTTTCTTTTAAAACTAACTTAACCTAACCTAACCGAACCTAATCGTGGTTTTGCGATAAACATCCAGTTTCGTTATAATTCGATTTTCGGTGTAGGTAATGAAAATTCGATCAAATGTTATTTCGGAAAAAAAATTCGAGTTTGTGATAAACTGAGTCAGGAAACTAATTATCACATGTGATTTGTCGTACGTACAGATGGTTTGTTAGTGATTCCACCCGGGCAAGCAGGAGTGGAGACGTTCAATTGCCCAACGGATTGGCTCCTAATTGCGGCTATTAGGCTTTGTGGTGATCGTTTGAACGACGGCTCTGTGCTACAAGATTTTGCTTTAGACGCTCCTGTCACAGGTAAAATAATGTAAAATAGATTGTAAAATAAGGTAAGTTGAATTCGACAATTAGCATTTGAAAACAGGGTTTTCATTTTTTACAATTTTATGAAGATTTTAAGAAGATTTATTTAATATTATTTTGAGTAATTGAGTATATTCTAATTCCATTTATTAACTTCAATTTCACAGCATTCTCACTCCATTGTTATTCAAGTTATTTCAAACTGTAGCCGACGTTATTCTATTAGGTGCTTTAAATGAAGCATGGCCGTGTGTGTATATTAGTTTTACCTATATCTTTAATATTTCTGGACCTACCTTCTGATTTCGCTTTGAACTGTAATATATTGTAATCCTTTACATACCCAGAAAAACCTACCAAATCATAAAATAAATTTCAATTTATCCTGAGATTATCGATTATCTTAAACGAACGTTCATATTTTTTGTGATAACTACGCAATAAATTCATAAATGACATTGTTGTTTCCTACTCGCATGTAAAGCAAAATATAACATAACAGAAAATGTAAGTCTATTATAGGTACCTATAATTTGAACAATACACATTATGTAACATTTTTTTTATAACACTAGGTTATGTTGCAAAATTTTTTGTTGAAGATCGTATATAAATTCAATAGTGAACTCAGTAGGTCAGTAAAGGGGTAAAGGTACTTTGTGGGCGGTTTTGATGCATATGCATTTTTGGAGTGTGTACTATTTATACAAATTATTTGGTGTACGAATCTTGTGAAAATCCCAGTATAAAGAAGGCACACCTTTAAATGTTATGACACATACATAATAATAAGTACTTCTTTGTGTTTCATACAAATTTTGTCATTTTTTGCAGATATTTCAGCAGGCCCCATTGTAGTATGGTTTAGATCAGACAGTGGATACATTGGACGAGGTTTTAAAATACAATACCAACAAAATGAATGTTGAGATATCTGATGTTTTGATACGGCAGTCACCACACTTGTCAATACGGAATCACATTAAGCTGGTTAGAAAAAGCTTTATGTCGATGTCGTAAGACCGAAAATGATGTGCGTTTAGCGTCTGAGGTTTGAAACGCGACCGGCTCAAACTGACTCCGTGTTAATTAGGACAGAGACTCCTCAATGTATACCTTAAATTAGAATGCATTTGATTGCTGTTGCTTTCTAAATAAAACGTTGGTCCCTTAAAAAAAATAGCATTTTATTATATGTTTGTTAAAAAGTAAGCAGCCAGTAACATATTTTTAAAGTATATTATATAATAAAATATTTTTTAACATACAATTTTTTTTTATCTCCAAAAACTTTAGAAAAATAAAAGCATAAATTTTGTACTTCACACGCAATTCTAAAATGCAGTTTACCTTACCTACTTTATTACAATTTGTGGACAAATAGTTAAAATTAAAATTGAAGTACATAGAATGCAATAAGGATAAGAAATAACAAAAGTCAACAATTGAAGAATAAGAAATTGATCATACATACTAATTTCTGAAAAGGGTTTAAACATTTTGGCCCAGGTCCTATATATAACAAAGCTTATGGAACATAATACTTTTGGCGTACATTTACTGTTGTTGCATTGCAGTACAAAGTAACTTCTACAAACCATTAATTAAATGCAAATGTTAGGTTACTTATTCTTCAAAGTTTCACTCTGCTTTTCCTTCAAACCATCTCTAACAATCTTATGGAACGACAACATAACAGGTACCATAATGGCTCTTAATAAACCCATGGTAAAAATTTGAAGCAGCACTTGACCCACACTTTCAACAGCTCCACAGTAAAGTATTGTCATCAGCTTGCCACTAAGGCCAAAAACAGAGTACAACTTGCCATTCTAAAAAGAAAGAGAATGATTACTTTTGGTAATGAGTTTCTCAAAAGTTTTTAAAGCTAAATAGAAGTTACTAATGGCTTTATATTCACAACATTTTCAAGATTATTAAAATCTGTCATTCAATTCTGATTTTTATTCTCACTCTTTTACGGTTCATGTGGTCAGACTTTGGAAGGCACTTGATAATACTGTTCATGATAGTAAATTCTTAGCTATTTTTAAAACGAGAATCTAGGGTTACTGTAGTTATTATGGCCTGTATTTCGGTCCGCAGGAAGAAATTAATTTTAAAAATAAGGAGTACTTTTGTTTGCATTTTCCGTTGTACTAAATGTGATTTGTGTTTTCCTGTGCAATAAATAATTAAATAAAAAAAAATTTATTACATAGTTGGAAACTTCAGGGGTTATTTTCCTCTACAACTTCCTGCAGAAATTGATTAATGGCACGAGTGTGTGTAAATGACAATTAAAACTAATTATATTTATAACAAGACACTTGTGAAGTCTGGATGTGGTTTAAATAAGCCGTATGTACAATTTGTTGTTTTAGTGACAAACAATGCTATCTTGTAAGTTATCCTTAACTTCTGAATAGTCTTATTCTGCTGATATCACTAATACATACATAATACATACTGACAAATGAAATTTCATATGGTTTCAGGATGTGAAAATTTACTATTTTTTCCAGTATTTAGAGGATATTACCTAAAAATGAATACTATAAACATAAAATCTCACCAAAGAATCATGGACAATCTTCCTTCCAACATATTCAGGAGAGGACAATCCAGCTGATCCAGATATCAGTTTAGTCTCCTTTGGTTTAGTCAATTCTTCATTTGCAAATCCAGGCGTGTCAGTGTCTGGGGGAAAGGCTAATGTCAGTCTGACATTAGTACCCACTAGCTCCATGAATATGGCTTCTGCCAGCCCTCTCACTGCCCATTTGCCAGCACTGTAAGCACTATAGCCATAGATACCTGGAAATAATGGACACATAAATGGTATTAATACATGGAAAATTAACTGACAAGAACTGCTGCAAAAAAATTGTTTTAAATTTAAATTAGTACATATACAAATTTTATCATTGCTATACATATAGGAAAGACAGTTCTAAGATAATATCTAGCTAGATAGTTAGTTCTGACGTCAACTAACTAAAACATGGCAAAACAAAAACAAAAGATAGATCACAAAATTCTCTTTTAAAAACAGTTAAAATTAGTTAGATGCATAGCTGAAATGTAATTAAATAATTTCAATATTTTAAAACTGGGTATATCTCAACAAAATATTTTGTCACTTAGCCACATTTTAGTTAGAAGAGTTTAGACGGCAGAGTTACTGTTACTTCATTGATGATGTATTGTTTAATATAAAGACTTTGGACTTGGATTTGTATTTTGCATAGGTGCAAAATACATAACTAATTTTTGTTAAGGAAAATTTCAGCACTGATGGCAATGTTTGAAAACTACAGCTGCCAAAATCCAAAACTTCAGTAACATTTTAACTGTAATGTTAAGTGGTAAGTTTTTCCTTATTTCAACAGTTGAGCCTTTGCAATAACTGCATCAGAGTTTTGGGTAGGTATGTTAGTCTTCTGTTTCTCAGTCAGCATCTATACCTCCCTACAAATTAAAACCAAAGAAAGTTATGCACAGTACTGAGGCTTCAACGTGGTTGAAGATCGCTTACCAATCAAAGAAGCTTCAGATGAAACAAATACAATCAATCCTTCATTCCTTTTCTTCATCCCAGACAAAACATAGTAAGTCGGGTACGCAGTGCCAAAGTAGTTCAAATCAATCAACTTTTTTATATCCTGCACTTTCATTGTTTCAAACTGTCCGCAAATACACATTCCTGCTGAGTTTATTAGCATAAATATTGAACCTATGTCTGTTTCTAAGGTCGAAAGACATTTTTGTACCGATTCGTAATCCGAGGTTAAATCGAGAGACGCATGCTGAATTTTTTGACCTTCTTTGGCTTGTGAGGATATTTCACTCACAGCAGCATTCAGTTTACCTACGTCGCGACCTATAATCGTAACATGAGCTCCCAATCGAGCGGCTTCCATAGCAGCAGCTTTGCCGATTCCGCTGGAGCCACCGGTAACAACAACATGTTTCCCTTTCAAGTCTTTATACAAGATTTTATTATCCAAGAAAAAGAACAAAGCTCCCGCCAAAACGGCAATTACAGCCAGAACTATTATTAAATAGCACATGTTTTCACTTTCACGTGAAACTATTTTACAATTATAATATTTTAGGAGTCCCGCCCGTCTCACTCCAAGAATAAAAAAAACCATTTGTGCATTTTTTTTCATTTATTTCATGATCATGGATACAAATCATTCAGTCGAAATATAAAACGGCCCATTCACCACTAAACTTGCATGGCAGTTTGCCGCGCAGACTGGAGCCAGCTCACACATTACCCTTTGTATGGCCCACGTATGGAGTCCCGCGGGACGCATGCAGGATGGCAGGAAGGTTAGCACGCTGCGACTATATTCATAATCCTGTATTGCGCGGCTGTAATGCAGGATAGTGAATGCCCCCTTTAAAGGGAGGCATTGCACCTCAAAACGTTTTCAAGTGTAAATTTATTTTACCTATGGAATAAATAATCTTTGACTTTGACTTTGACTTTGCCTGCACGCCGGACTGCCATGTCATGCAGGTAGTGAAAGCTTAGACTATGGAATTTTTTTCCATCCTATGAGGGTCGTATTCCAGAACTCTACTACTCTCTATCTCTCTCTCTCTACTAAGTCCTTGCCATTAGGGTCGTATTTCCAGTGCTTGAAATCATACTCAAGTCTGCTCAAATCCTGACTTGAGCATTGAGTAGAGTTCTAGAATACGACTCAGAGTCGTATTCTAGAATTCTACTCGATGCTCAAGTCAGGATTGCAATGGAAACACAATCACTGGAAATACGATCCTAATGGCATGGACTTAAGTATGATTTCGAGTTCTTTAAACCATACTTAAATCCTGACTTGAGCATTGAGTAGAGTTCTAGAATACGACCCTGCGAGTAAATGAGCCGTTTATAATGACAATGACATTAAAATGCAAACCACTTACAAACAGTGTGGCCAGATACCAAGACAAATTTTTGAAAAAGTCAGAAGTATTGCATACAAAAAACAGTAGAGGAAAAAAACAGTGAGTGCTGAATCTAAATAAAATTTCATTTTCATTTTTACGTTATGTACTGCCCAAAGAAGAAAGCGTGTAATGTTTTTTGATGTTACCTTACAATCTTGATAATTGAAAATAATGTACTTTTTTTACACCTAAATTCTGAGGATATCCAAAGTATAATTTCTTTAAATATATTTATTATTATCATATTAAAAACTTCGATGTTACATTGCTACAGTGCAATCTATATTAAAAGTTCCTAAATCATTAAAAAAAAAAGCACTGTCAAGTCAAGTCAATAAAAAATGGTCGCCTGACTGTCAGTCGACCGACCTCAGATTCGTGTTGTGTAGGATAGAATAGTGAGAATATTGATTGTTTATTGACTTTTCACTGGACCAATCAATCACATTTCGTAATTACAATAAGAATCCTATAGGATATAATATAATATTTTTAGCCTTCCCGTCTCAGTATATTGTACACGTCGTGATAATTGGCTATTTCACGATTATAAAATAATTTGCTTGTTGGTATTATTAAAAATGAATATAGAGACGAATAGGCTGAGTACGTTTGCTAATTGGCCTGCGTCAGCTCCGGTGGACCCGATACGGATTGCGAAAGCCGGGTTCTTCTATACGGGCGAAGGTACGGAGGTGCAGTGTTTCAGTTGTGGTGGAAAGATCTCACAGTGGAATTATGGAGACCAAGTTATGACGCGTCATAGGAATATGGAGCCGAATTGCGCGTTCGTGCAGAACTCTCAGTTGTCAGGGAATATTCCGCTGGTTTTGAGGCAGGATTGCCCCAATGACAACATGGTGATTTCAACTGCTACCCAACAGAACAATGCAGATACTCATGATTATGGTTTAACTGAAGATGATGCAATGTACAGGACTGATTTGTTGCGGCTCTTGTCTTTTACAAATTGGGAAGTAAGTATTATTTACTTGTTTAGGTAAAAACACTTTTTCCTTCATAACTTTACTAAAAAATGTTTTGCAATTCAATCTGTAAATAATGTTTGAATAGAAATTGATTGTTTCAGTGTTATTGGTCTGTTTTCGTTTTTACCTTTCTCTAGTAATAATGACTTTACCTCAGACTGCTGTTTATATAGTTACTTATACTGTCATATGCAGATATGTAAAGGTTCTTACAAGATGTAAAAATAAATTGTGATTATTATTGTAATGTCTATAATCAGCAGTGGGTGAAATCAGGATGTGGATAATGATGAGGAATCATTTGTTAACAATAATAAATGAGTAATAATGATGTACATGTGTTGTATACTTCTTTTCAATCCATTTTGAACAAAAAGTAAACAAACAAGTCACTGACCTGACCATAGACTGTTTAGAGGTGGCCAATTGTAACACCAACTACAAATCGATTAATTAATTGAATGAATTGATTTGTTCTATTGAGTCATACTAGCGGTTTTCCTTACATAACCTAAATAAGCATATTTAAAATTTCAATTTAAATTGTCCTTCAAATCCTTACTCTTAGATACTTGTTCGATTGCAATTGAAATATTCGATTTAATAATTGATTACTAAACTTTAATTGATTGAACCGAATGTTTATTTTCAAACAGCACTATGCCACCGTAGGCAAGTCAGAAGTACAGATGAATAATAACCTCACTTTTGAACTACCATTTTTCAAATACATTTTTATGATACGATTTCAAATGAATATTGTTGAAAAAAGTGATGGACATATCATGTTGAAATCTTCGAAATATATCTTCGTGTTACTTATTTGATTTATTGAATGATTGCTTTGGAATTTTAACCAAACGGGTTTGTTTACTTTTTGTTCAAAATGGATTGGAACACACTATACATTAACAAATATTTTCATGACACTTTATTTTAGATGGTTTCAGTTTGTTATAAAAATTGAACTATACATATGTTATGTACTTGCATCCGGACAAACAATTTAAGGAAAAAAATGGGGAAAATTCTACTTAGCAGGTCTAATCTACAATATTGTTTTGCAACAGTTCATGTGCACTGCTATATTTATTTCTTATTAGTTTAATTAAGTATATCAAAAAATATTTTAAATCGTGCATGTGGTATGGTACGTATGACGGGCTGGTGTCTACAACTCGATGTCAAAAAACATGCACATGTATTCGCACACACTATAGTGCCTGTTCCCACAATCTTAAGTACATTCACAGGATGAGGCCCGAAGTGCCCACTTCCCTGTGAATACCTCACTGTTGCTGTGTGCAAGTGCATTCTTTCCACTACTGTGTAGCTTGTGAAACTTTGCCTTTTCATTATCCTAACATCAAAAATGTACAATTCAACTATAGGGAGGTATTGTGCTCCCAGCTTACCTTCTCTTTTTTGTTCCAATGAACCATACATATTTATTCATATACAGTCATTGATTTACAAATAAATGGACGACGGGTCTAATACAAAAACCACGAAAAAAATGTCCCAAGTCAACCTATTTAAACATAGTGACATGTAAAGGAATATGAAAAAGCTAAAACGTTGAATTTAAATTGTAATGTCATTTCAGTACTGCCTAATTTTGCTTGCAACAATTGAAAGGCGCAAAAAAGCACCATATTCAGCTTCTACTGGAAACTTACCAAAATGTAACATATGTAGCTTCTAGTGAAAACTACTTGAACACAGGTATAATAAATGTGGAATTTTATACAATGCCATTTATTACGAGCTAGGGTGTCTGACTTTTTTTTTCTTGAGTTTGGAGAATTCTCGTACCCGATTTCTCGAGTTATTCGAGAATTTTTTTAAAACCGTAAAAAATCAGCTCAATCAACTATAAAACTAAATGTGAACTTTTCGAAAGTTGTTTTGGCCTGGGTGTTCTGAGTTATGCCCCGGAATAAATTTTATCGTTCTTGGTCAGACTCGATAACCAGTAGAACCAATTTGGGAAATGAACTTTTGTAAATTGGTTTTGCTCTGGGATTTTGTTGCTCTGATACTCATGGGGTACAGAGAGTTCCCTAGTTTCAAACCAGGTGATTGTCTTACAATAGAATACCAAGACCAGAACCATTTAGAAAAGTTAATTTGTTAAATTGATCCTACCGTTATCGAACCCGGGAACATCTCATCCAGTGCCCACAGTGCAAACCGTCAGGCTATCAAGGTTGTTACTATTTGTATTACTATGCAGTGTTTTTGTTCACTCATTGATGTAATCATGTGATTATGACCATAACATTAAACCTTTGGTATGTACCAAAGCTTTAATGTTATGGTCTTTTATCAAGCTTGCATCAGCTCTGGTTTCCTTTCTTTTTTTTACCATTTTCTTAACTCGTTCGTGCATAGTAGTGAAATTATATTGCGCTCAAAATTTCACCACTTTTCTATATGCCGTAGTGCTTACATTGATATAATTATTACGGTTTATCACTGACGACGGTTGATTCCGTCATCAGGCATAGTCGTACTGCTCATAGTTCTTGCAAATGTTTCTTGTGCATGAAATAGTACGGCTATGACGGTAGTAGGGTATTTGCCGTTGTGAGATAATTACAAAATTAAAATGCGCGATATTGATTGCGCAAGGGAAACGCTTTCCAAAATAAACACTTAAGTACTGATTAATAATAATAATTATAATAACGCACACACTCAACATTGTCCCGTATTGTCCCGTACCATGGACACACATATAGACAACCACAAATTACACCCAAACTCACGAGATAAATAAATGTAGGCCATACACATATTTCTCCCGAAAAACCTAAAAAAATACTTTCGGGATTATGGAAATTCATGCAAACGTTTTTCGGGCAAATGTATTTTCGGTCTTCTGATTCGTAACCCCGAGCCGTAGAAAGAGTACAACAATATTTGAAAGTATTACTAACATGTATTAAAAAATATTTTAATAACATTAGCATCAAAGCGACTCTATGAAATTTTTGTTCTAAATTTTTCAAACGCTTGTGTTTCAAACAATTGAAATTGATGTGATGGGTCTCGTTCAGTCCTTTACGCAAGCAATGAGTCGGAAAGAGACAGTTAGCTATTTGATTATTTTGATTGCTTTTGTAATTTGTATTTACGATTAATTTAAATATATATTAAATACTTTATATACAAGTGCATAAAATAACACTTTTAAATGATAACTATGATAACACAATGTAGTACTTACTGAAAATATGATATACCACCCTGTTTTTTCACTTTAGTTGAGTAATTTTTACAAGGTTTTACTACACAATACGGCATCATTGACAAGCGCGCTGTCAGTCGAATAAACGAAGACTAAAGCGTGTTTGACGCTCTGTATACGATTTTAACGCCCTGTAAGTTCGGACACTTTTTAGCGCGGACCCGACGTCCATTTATTTGTAAGTCAATGTATACAGTCCACAAATTGAAGGATGGCATCATTTGCAATATATAATAATACCTAAATGTACAAACAAAGGCATACTTTATTTTTTCTAGGAGTTTCCTAATTTATTTTTTGTATGAACTTTTATTTTATTGTAAGAAATGAAAATAAATAAAAAAATTGTAGTCAGCTTAATAAATTTTTGCGAGTCTCACCTCGAGTTATAGATAAAACAAGATTACATGCTACATAAACGGTAATTACTTTGCAGGGTGTAAATTTCAGACAGGGCAGCAAGGCCAGCTACCTTAATCGTTGTAGTTACAGGAAAATGTTTCTGAAATACTATCCATGAATTTTATGATATTTTGATTGGCATTCACAGATTTTGAAAAAAATGGCGCAGTCAGCAAGATAAAAGGCAATTTTTACAAAACTTTTTTTTTATGCCTTTCGATCTGTTCTCTGGTACGGATCAATAGTCTCTATGGGACCCATTGAGGTAAGAGTACTCGAAAGGTCAGAAATCGCAAAAACCTTTTACCACACATTTTAAATGAAAACTTTTTGTTAGAAAAGAAACTGGCCACTACTCTACGAATAAGAATAAAGTAAAACCAAATTAAAATCATATCATTATTTTTTAAATTTGAAACTGTTTTGTTTTGTTAATAGCGAATTGTCACTTTTAGTACGATTTTTAATCAAAATTTTCTCAAATGTGGAAACAAATGAATCAGAACACATGGTCCTATCAAATGACCACCGCGCAGCCCTGATCATCAGATCAGGAGATTATTTATGTTATTTAGCTTTTTGTTATTGTGTTTATTTTGAAATACATAATATGTTCTCAATTTGTTAGTTTCCTTAACTACCTGGAATAACTGATTACTAAATATGTCCCTACAAAATGTATGGTAAAAAGTTTTTTGCGATTTCCGACATTTCCAGTACTCTTACTTCAGTTGGTCGCATAGATACTATTGATCCTTACCAGATACCGGATCGAATGGCATAAAAAAAGTTTTGTAAAAATTGCCTTTTATCTTGCTGACTGTACCATTTTTTCAAAATCTGTGAATGCCAATCAACACATCTTCAAAATTCATGGATAGTCTTCTAGAACCGTTTTCCTGTAACTACAACAATTAAGGTAGCTGGCCTGGCTTCCCTGTCTCAAATTTACACCCTGTATAGATCATAGTTTCCCGAAGTGGTTCGTACTGTTCCACTCGGGAGCAATTGAGGGCCGTTGATGATGTCCTGGGTTTTTTTCACATTTGAGAAAATCCTGAATTATCTATGTAAACTACACTACAAAATTTTTCACAAAGATTTGATTCAATTCTACATATTTTGTGGATTTGACAAATTGATAGTTTTAGTAAATAACTAAGAATATATGAGTCTATGTTTTGTAATATACACAGAATTTAGATTGATAATTTAATTATTTTATTTCAAAATCGGGACTCAATCGTATATAAAACGTATGTTATTTACCTCGACGATTCAAATGTGTTGTCCAACATCCATGGTCTGCAAGGGACTTATAGATAATAATAGTAATTTGATAATAATATTGTGTTTATAATACAGACTCTGTATGGATTAGAGCACTGAAGAAAATTCAGTATAATAGTAATCTTCAAATCTAGAAATAGCTTAAAAATTGCTTTTATGTCGTCATTGTCATGATCATTTTATTTATTTCAGGATAATTCAGTTTCCCGAGAGTCTTTAGCGAGTGCTGGATTCTATCATGCAGGAGAGGGCCGTCTGAGGTGTGCCTGGTGTGGTGGAGAGCTAGCTCCATTCAGGAATTTTGGATCTTTGGGTCATCCCTTAGATGTACATAGAATGTAAGTAAATTCCCTAGACTACTTTGCTTTTTGTCTATAAATGATGAAATTTCTATAAATTTTTATTTATGTGTACTAATAATAATAATACGTCGGGCATAAAGAATATAATAATAAAAAATTGGATAAAAAATAGAAAGGTATTACCAACACAGTTGTAACTAAACACCGCGTATTTTACAAAGAGTTTTCTAATCTAAATAATCAACACCATCGAAGTAAATCCCCTTATCAAATCGTAATAGATATTGTTAAAGGTTTATCACGTGAGATTTCCCGTCGACAGGTACTTCCCGCGTTGTGCGCATGCGGCTCAAATGCGCGCGCGCGCGCAAACTCCACCAGATTCTCCCTCCACAGAGCTTACCCCTCCTCTTCATTCGCCCTCTGATACCAATGCTACTCAACCACAGTCGTAAGTATTATAATCTTCGTTTTCACACTTTATTGACTCTTGATGGAAGGGATATGCGTCACTAAACAATCAAGACATTGTGAATTGTCATGTTTACTGGCATAAAATGTAAGTGTGGCTTAAAATGTAAGATTGATTTTTATATTCTATTGTGTTATATGGATGGATGGAATAGATGAAATTTATTACACACGTAGACATATCGTCGGGGATAGTGCAATTATGCGTAACTAGCATTTGATTATGAGTCTTGAGATTTCGGCAATTTAGTCGCCAAATCAAATCCAAATTAGCGTGATTTACGGGAATTTATTGTTATCAGTCCGTCGACAACATAAATTAATGCTTACCGTGCAAAAATGAAAGTCGTAGCCATTGAAATGATAAAGTAATAATATTAAATCTCTCTCCTGTGAAATTTAATTTGGTACAAATACTCACTTTGCAACTTTAGTGATACTGCAGGATTGACATATTATTTCTGGAACTTATTAGGTTTTTCGCTTTAAAAAATATGAGATTTTTTTTTGTTACCATCTTTAAAAAGGCCTTTAAAAACGTTCTTCGTTTACTAACTGTTTATTATCGAGTTCCTGTACAAATCAATCGTTTTTTTTTTCAAACCGATTCCATGTTCGGAATTTACCTACATAACATAGAATCATTAAAATACTGGTTAACTTCAAAAAAATCCTGTTTTAAGTTCAGATCAATTTCGTTGTTTTCTACGTGACTGAGCAATTATTTCCGTGTCCGCATTTTGACCGCTCAATCTGGCTGTTCTCTATGGATACAGGTGACGATAAAGCTGAATTTAGAATGCTGAGTATAAAATTGTTCTATTATGTAAGGGCCTTGTCCTCGTCACTTGATTTGGCATCGGTCACTTAATATTTGTCTATTCAATCAGTATTCGTATGTATGGGCGTCAAGGGCAAGACTATGTCAATTCCTATTGGCAATGACAATGTTATAATTGAACTCTTATTTTATACATTCGATCTTTGTATTAATAATTATACATTCGAGTTCAAATAATTTGTCAGAGTAGCAAGAATATTCTTGCCTGAAGTCAATTTTATTTTTATTTCAAAAGTAAATTTAAACTTTTGCTTTAACGCCATACTCGTCTGTGTAGAGGGTACTGGTGAGGCGTATAAGTAGCCAAAAAACTATGCATTAACATATATGTGTGACTAGCTCGAGAATTACATCCAAAGGTGATTTCAAAATCAGTAGATGAAAGCCTGCCGTCTTTAGATGAAAGTGCCTTGACAAAAATTCTAAACCGACTATAAATAATGTTCAAAGAAATTAAATTAAAAAAATGCCTGCTGTCTCCGAACGAATAAACGTAGACACTTTCTGTAAACTCAGTAAGATAGGTATATACTCGTATTATATGCAAAATATGGCATGAGTTTTTTGCTGGCAAATATCGATGCCTTACTTTCTCAAACTCGTATCTTATCAAAAGTGATTATTCAGGAGCTGGCAAAACTTTCTATTTACTTTAAATTTCTTATCAAGGGGTTTAATTTGGATGCATTACTTGAAGAATAGATAAAAGCCAGTGTGTGAATATGAAGGAAGTGTGATGTGAAATCAGCTTGCAAAATTTGTGTATACAATATATTATTTTCCATTTCAGTAACTTTGTGCTTTAAGACACGAGTTTGAGAATGTAAGGCGACGATATGGCATTGATTAAGCTTAAATATTTAATTGTTACCCTTTTTCCTTTCCGTCTTAGTAAGAAAATGGTTGTAAAATACTGAATACCAGGTAAGATGGGCGCATGTAACCACTTAAGCATTTTTCACTTACAAAATAAATACAACACTATTGCTAATGTTAGTATAATAATAAGATTAAAGGGCACGTGTGGTTACATGGTCTTTTCAATGTCCGTAGCTTGACATTTTCACGATTTTTATTACTTAAATGAAAGGTACATTTCCTCTTTATTTTAAATTTACGCGAGTGTAGTGTAACCGTCATTCGGGATGTTAACATTTTTCAATAATTACACGCGTGTAGAGCTTTAACTGAGAAAAAATTAGAATGGTGACTTGCGTTTTGTGGGTAATTTTCAAGTTAACATTCTCTACCTAATTTAGTGGCATTTTCATTATTTAAGTACTCGAGTAAATTGTCGTGAAATATTAAATAATGTTTCTGGTTATTACACTAATATTAATTAATACTTTTAAATAATGAAATTGCCACCGAAACTGCGCAGAGAAAACTAACCTGAAAATTACCCTTTTCAATTAACTGATTGAACGGTGCAGTTTAAATGAAATGATGAATAACTGTTTATACGTAACCTATTTCTGCCGCCAAGCAGTAATGTCAGTATAAGTTTCGGTGTTATGCGGTGATGCTTTACATATTTTATTGACAAGTAGGGGATTATTGTTTATTAACACAGTCCACCAAAGTGCCGGCCGGTCTGTATTATATGTTCCAAAATTTTTTTAGTGCGTAACCAGGACCTTACTGCCAATTTGGTTGTTCTTTACTTCGTTAGATCTGGAGCAGCGCACAACGAGCGGCTGTTGGCTGCTGGAGGTACATGGCGATCCCTGGGCGTTGTGGGCGGCGGCGCGCGGCATCCCGCACAAGTGGCGCTGGCCGCGCGACTGGCCACCTTCGAAGGCTGGCCGGCTGATCGCGCGCAGACGCCACGTACTTTGGCTGATGCGGGATTCTTTTATACTGGGACTGATGATCAGGTACATTTTCAATTTTCTCTATATGTTTATACTTGGATTAATCTTGCCATGTTCTGTACTTCCACGATACAGCCTGCACAATTATAAAGTCAAGGAGAATTGGCATCTTCTAGGCAAGTATATAACTCTCAGATAAGATGGATTGTACATACTTGTCTACACAATAGGCAGCGGCAGAGCTCTTTGTGAAAGAGTTCGCGCAGGGAAGTAATGCCAGCTTAGGTACCTATTTCTGCCGACAAGCAGTAATGTGCGACACCACCACGCGTACGACATATTCGTCCCGTCATTTGGTATCAAAAATGTCCGTTACTCATTGTCGTTACTGCATTATCAAAATTAAAAAATCTATTACGAAAGCTTGTACTTTCTCACATTGTTTTCCCACGATACTCGCTGAATAGCAGAAAGCTGCAGTAAATAACGTTCGACAAATCGCGTAGTTGAACGTGTCATTATGTTTTTCCCATCGAAAGAAAATGTTATGTGCACCATAGTCCATCGTCAGGTTCGTATCTCAAAAACCTTTTTCGCGCTAGCGTCGAAAAAACGCTTTTGCGCGCAGATTTCTAAAGAAAAAGAAAGCCTTTCCGAGCTAGTGAGGTGAAATGGTTATTTGTTATGCAAGGGTACAAAGTTGTTGTTTGACGCGAGTATTGAAACCTGAGCAAGCGAAGGACCTTAAGATTGAACCACAAGCTAAGCGAGTGGTCTAAAAATAAAATCCTGTGCGTAGCGAGGGTTTCAAGACACGAGACGCATAATAACTATGCTGCCGAGTAAAACACACAATTTTTACCTATAGCCAGGAAACTGGTAGACGAAAGTAAAACAGTTCAACTATAACATATAAAATTAGTTATCGTTGTCAAAATGTCAACAATAACAAGAATAAAATATACCAACGGATTTATAATATATAAATAATGTACAACAAATCGCGTAGTTGAACGTATCATTGTTTTTATTTTGCCATCGAAAGAAAAAGTTAGGTGCACACATCGTCAAGTTCGAATTTTAAAAACGCTTTTGCGCGCAGATTTCTTATGAGAAAGAAAGCCTTTCCGAGCTAGTGAGGTGAAAATATTTGTAATTTGTATGTGGTACTCGTAGGTGCGGTGCTTCTACTGCGACGGTGGGCTAGGCAGATGGGAGGCGAGTGACGCGCCGTGGTCGGAGCACGCTCGTTGGTTCCCGCACTGCGGATTCGTGCTGCTCGTCAAGGGGCAGCAGTTCGTCGATAGTTGCCGAGCACCCACCACTGCTGTAACTAGATGTGTCAGTATAATGATCATGTACCAATAGAGATTAATAGTTGCCCACCATAACCATGTAGGGATGCTCAATTTTTTGCTTTGAATCGATTTTTTGTATCGTAATGGAACATATGCCTCGGAATCGATACACAGATCGGTACGATCGATGTCATAAAAATTAAATTAATTTCGATTGAAAGAAAAAATCATTTTAAGTCTTTGTGGCTTAAATCGATTACGACTTTCATTTAGAGTGATATTAGCCAGTGAGAAAAGACGTTCTGATGGCATGTGGATGCCATCAGAACGTACCAGTAGCGACAATAGCCAAATATTGTAGGCTCATTGTACTTAGATGTTGTCAAATTGCTTTTCTTGCAGGCCAAAATAGGAAATAGGATTAAGGCCCATTTAGATGGAGAGAGTTTATCGCACGCTTCTGACGAAAAATCGTACGCGATTATCGTAAGCAATAATCGCCATAAAATTATCGTATCATAATGTTTACATTGAGGCAAGAACTAAAATCTCGCCTACGTTTATGTCATACGAGATTCGCAAGCAACTTAATCGCCTCCTCGACTGTTTACACGGTATGTAAACAGTCGAGTAACACACATATGTAGTAAGGAGATTCTTGCTTACGAGTTTTCGACTTGTCTAAACACGATCTCGTATGACATTTTTTCAAGTTAATACGATTATCGTACAAATCGGTTCGAACCGTTTTGAGTGCGAGAATTGCCATTCGAGTTCAGTGATTACTGCGGTATTGACTATGGACAAATCAAAATGACGCAAAAATCATTGAAATTTGGAACTGCTGATAACATTAAGTTCATTGCAATGTATAGAAATATACTTTTTTTAAATTTTATGAAATAACCCTTTTTTTCGTTTTCGTTTCCTTAATTCTTGTCTTAGAAAAGCAGTGATCATCAAAACACCCTCGCGCGCTGTACTCATGGTAGAAACGGCTGGCACAAAAACTCGAAATACGATTTTTGCTTTCAAGTTCTGTTTATACGGAGACGTTCAATATTGAAGGCGAGGCGATTATCGCTCACGTGGAAGGACGATAATAGCGAATGTTTAGACGAGGAAAGTTTTTTATATTCTTTCGATAATCGTATCTTCGAGACGAGAAACTCTCTACATCTAAATGGGCCTTTAGCCTTACTATTAAATAGGGGTTCAGAAAGTGACTGTTTTGTTTAAAATATGAATACTATGATTCGATTGGCCTTAGTGTTGAATCGATTTACTTAAAAATCGCTAGATCGTATACACTTGAACCGATCTTCCTAAAAATCGAATCGTAATGTGCATGCATCCCTATACCATAGTATAAAAAAAACAAGTAGTGTTAACTTCATCCGAGGGTAGCAGTATGTGCGGACAGCTTGTATGTGTGCACGCCCGCCGCGCGCAGTCTGTAGTGCACTCATTCGCATAGTCTCGCGGTGCACTCGAGTTGCACAGCACGTGTCGCACGCGGCACTCATTTTAGAATTGAAGCGTTCCCTCGATGTTTAAAATATTTTTCTGTTGATGCTATCGGGAATCAAAACGGGATTTCTTCATTTAGCGCCCGCAGTGTTAACCATGAGCATAACCATACTCATAATACTGAACAACTTTGGGGGTAATTTGTAAACTGCTGGTATATAACTCGTTCTAATAATAAGTTATGTTAAATAGATTGATAAAATGTTTATTCAGCACAAACACAAGCAGAAGAAAACATATACAATCACTTCACAATCCTTATAATCTTCACAGTCTTTATAAAATTATGTATAATCTTAACAAGGTATGACACAAAAGCACATAGAACATAAATTAATACACGTTGATATAAACATATATTTATAGAAAGAAACAAAATTTTATACTGGACATAGGTATTTGCAACATTTTGTGCTGAAATGGACCTGACTCTGTAAATACTGTAGATCGTGAAAAGTCAAATAGGTCACTCCTTCCGCTCTGCGCAACTACCTCAGGAATTGACGTAGTATTTTCACAAAAAAAATATGAATATCATGTTTTACTACAAAACATGATATTTAATTAAATAAATATAGCAAATATAACCTATTGTTATATGAATTGCAACGTTATTTAACTGGAAGGAACATGTTTTATGTTAGATGACTTAAATAGCAGTAGAGCTCCTTGTGAAAGCGTTCGTCCAGGGAAGTACTGACACTTTACCTATTTCAGCTGCCAAGCAGTAATGTTAGCATTACTGCGTTCGGGTTTTTTGAAGGGTAAGGGTGCTGGTGAAATTACAGACGCATGGGACTTAAAATAAAATAAAAATAAAATATAATAAAAAGGTATTTATTTCTTCACAAAACATAAACACAGTACTTAAAAAACGAACAGCAAAAAACAATTGAGTGATATGGACAAAAAGGTTACAAATTTTCTACCTTCACCTGTAGCTTGCTAGCTGTTCGCCTGCTGTACCAAGCTAATATGCAGAGTGTACACCAAGTAATACTGCCGTCCACTAACGAAAACACGGCTAAGTGACAAATTGTCAAATATCTGTTGTAAATAGTAAATGGTAGACACAAAATTGTCTTTTAAAAACGGTTACAATTAGTTGTAAAACTACCTTAAGCAATAACTAGCAATAAGTTAAAATTTAAATGGCTGTCCGTGTGATTTTTTTTATACACTTACCTAAAATTTGTATTGCTAGGAGTTTTAATTGGGGACCAGTTGTTACTAGGTTTTTGTACAGGATCCATTTAGGATCCATTGCTTACGTTTTTTGAAAGTAAACAACGTTTTTGCGTTTTTTACTGGAGGTGGAAGGTCATTCCAGCACTTACTCGCTGCGAAACGAAAGCTGTCCCTGTCCAAAGTTAAACGAGGGAGAGTCAATAACTGAAGATGCGGGTACCGCATATATCGGACATTAACTTTATTTGTCAACTTATGTCTCAGGGTGACGAGCGCAGCGAGCGCCCTTCAGATCTTTCCGATTGAAAGCTCTGAGTGCACTGCAACTGTTATGTACAACCGTGTAGCTTACCACCAGGCGCACTTGTTCTTCCCATCACTTGATATTATAAAAAAATGACACTGTCCCATGCTTGTGTATACTGCTATATTTAAATCACCATTATGTGTTAATTTGCGTCTTATGTTTCATCTCTAGTTGTCAGCAGAAAGCGGCCTTAACAGACGACGGCTCGCTGGCGTGAATTTTCCTGTCAGTGAGAGTCAGGTACAGAGACTTTTCTTTATAAAAACACAACAACAACATCAATCCATTTATACTTCCCACTGCTGGGCACGGGTCTCCTCTCAGTCGAGGGTTTAGGCCATAGTCCGCCACGCTTGCCCAATGGGGACTTCTCACGTTTTCTGAGAGAGTTGTGAACTTTTTTCATCGTCCTTCACCGAAACGCTCATGGTAAACTGCAAATTAAATTACACACATTAATTCCGAAACACTCGTGAGGTGAGCCTCTGCTCGAGAGGCAGTAGGTTAAACTATTAGGCTACCACGTTTTATGGTTCGTTTCGGAGTTTTATTTTATAAAAACACTTGTAGGTTTTCAGAGGGTAAATAAAATGATACTAGGAAAATACATTGTCTCGTAATATCGAATTATGTTTACCAAAAAATTTAATTATAAAAGAAATGAAGGTCTGATCACGGAAATATTGCAGGACTTATGTACACAAAACATAATAAATATTAAAGGTGTAAATTAGTTAAAAAACGTAAAATCAAAAGAAATAACCATTGACCTACCAACAAAAGGTCAATGGAACTACCTCATCTTTCAAAAACCGGGAGAATCTAGTATATTAAAATTTTAAAGTATCATTCCATAGCCCATGTAATACGCGTCATTATGAAATCCAGTGACAGGTCACTTAAATATAGAACAGGTGAACTTAACCCCTTGTATCATCAGCCATACCATTGATGGTACGATTGTACGTACCATTTTTACTAAAATGTATATAAAGGTAATCTTTCGTAAGAAAAATAAGTCGTTTGAAACTGTAAGGGCCAGTGCATACCGGCGGTCGGGAAGGCAGAGGCTATTAAATTTATCAATGTATATTTTATACTATAGAATTTAAAATAAGGTATAAATTTCAATGTTCTGAGACCGACTTCGGAGCATCGCAGCTATCGAGTATATAACCAGAAATATAGACGAAATGTCATTTAATTTATTTGAAAATTATTTTACTAAATCATTACGGTGACAACTGCGCCCCGATTGGCCAGCCCGAGTTCGAAATAATTGACGGATGTCGATAATTGTTTCACTTCAAATCGACTAGTTCAATTTGAGCTTGTCTATAATGGACGACAATTGAAAAAGTTAATATTTAATTACCTATGAAATGTGATTCCGTTTGTTTTGTAATTAGATGTATTGCTATTTTGTCCTCACCACCGAATGGAACAGCCTCCCATTGTTAGAGATATTATCTTTATTACAATAAATACAGAATATTTTTGGAATATACGGAGACGTGCACACAAGTCAGTTGTTGGCGCTGTACTATTTCAGCTTTCTAATTTGTGATTTCAGTGTTGCCAGGGATAGATGGCTCTTATTTCGTCTCTATGTCTGGTTATATACTAGATGATCGTAGCCCATTTTTCTCTTTGGTATATTTTCATACAATGTCTCTAATATGTATTTGTAGATAGACGAATGTATGGAAAGCGAAACTGTGATGGCGGCGCTGGGCGCAGGTTTGGACGCTGCAAGAGTTCGACGGGCGATCATGAGGCGACTGCGAACTACGGGTACGTGTGTCATTAACTATGGCGTTATGGTTAAACTTATACTATTTCAATTTCAGTTGTTTATTGCATATCACATTACAAATTTAAGATGGAACAAATCAGTGACATACATGTCGGAGGGCTAAGTTCATAAATCACACTATTTAATTATATTAAATTATTACATTACAATAATATCATAGCATTATACAAATATTCTTAATTAGTAATAGAAAACATACATTATACAATACATTCATTTTAAATAATGAGAGATGTCGAAGCATTTTGTTATTATTATTTGTCATCATTTACATCTTAAAAAATCGTTTCAACCTTAATAACATTTATTTATTAATAAGGAATACTTTTAATTGCTTGCGGATTTGTGTGAGTCTTATCAAGTTTTTAATGTAATTTGGGATGAGGGATTATGAAGAGTAATATTTGCTCTAGTCGCCATTGCTGGACCCCCACTTGAGACGGGATTTCGTCAGCACGCTTTATATTATCATGGACAATAATTATTCAACAACACTGTTAATCGCGATACAAGACGCGTAGTTGGGTATTTAGTATCTATTGGTACACCAGATGTCGCGACGAGTACCAAATAGCTATTTTTGTGACTAATTTGTTTTACAACAAGCTGCAAGTTATCAAAACTACTCTAAATTCTAGTGACAAGAAATAAATCAACTAGATGGAGCTTATTGCACAGATATTTATGGATAGTGCCGGCTATTCTTTTATTTTTTTAGTATATTATGAACCCTTATTTTATAAATTAGTTTGTAACACACTATGACACCATCTATTGACACGCATACTTGTCAAAGTTCTGAAAATAATTTTAAGTCACGATCGATATTTGATTTTTTTTGTTGTTACAGTTGCAGTGCCACTCAGAGCTTTAAATCGCAATGATCTGAGGGGCACTGCCACTGCGTCCGTCACCCTGAGACATAAGTTGACAAGTCCCATGTGCCTGTAATTTCAACAGCTCCCTTCAAAACAGGAACATGGTAATGCTAACATTACTGCTTGGCGGCAAAATTAGGTAAGGTGGCAGTACTTCCCTGGACGAACTCTTTCACAAGGAGCTCTACTGCTACTCGTGAATAATATTACAAGGAAAAAACTTACTTCTTATATTTCATAGAGAAATTGATATAAGACGCCATCTAGATATAAGACGGAATTTTTACTTTTTCAGAGTTGTGATCTCTAGTATGGAGTTCCCTGTGGCTCCCTATTGTTGACATTTTCCAGGTCTCCCATTTAACACTTCCGAGGCGTTAATAGACGCAGTTCTTGATGAGCAACTCAATGAAGAAGCTTGGAGCGTATCTCCGCGCAACCAGCGGTTAGCCAGAGATATCTTAGCTGAGACTTTGCGGGACTTTGCGCCGAGATCTGGGTACAGTATTAGCCAAATTATCATTTTTTTGTACGATACGAGCTTTTTCTTTAATTTACTAAAACAACTATAATAATTTGTAATAATATAATCAAATCAATCATTGTAAGTTATAATATGTAATAATATAATCATAATTATTATTATAACGCATACAGACTCATAGCCCCGCACTAGCGAAACCCTGTATCGCCGATGCCATGGACACACACAAAGATAACCACAAATTACACCAAACTCACGAGAGAGAAATAAATGGAGGCTATACAAATATTTTTCACGGCCCAAGATTCGAACGCGGGACCTCTGCGTGACAGTTCTGCGTGGTAACCGTTCGGGCACGGAGGCAGTTACTAAACTAAATAAGTCTTCTGGCTTTTGAAATAAAAATCGATAAAGGTTAAATCCGTACATAAATACTTATTTTATTATGTACTTATTTATATCCTGTATTAGAAATGAAAATATTAATTTCATAATCACTTTATATTAAATAATGTTTTTTACCGTTGATATTTCGTACAAGCATTTTTAGAATATCTGTGCAATACAGTCGAAACAGCTCTTAGGTTTAATGAGTAATTTTCAGAAAACCACAAATTACACCCAAACTCACGAGAGAAATAAATGTAAGCCATACAAACATTTCTCCCGGCCCGGGAATCGAACCTGGGACCTCTGCGTGGCAGTCGGCACAGGGGTTGAGTGTGTGTGTTATTATTATTCGAAAAAAACGTAACTTTGTGATACTTTTCTACAATACTTAAATAATAGAAATTGCCATCGGAATTAGGTAGAGAAAACTAACATGAAAATTACACAAATATGACAAGTTTAGTAAGTATAATGTATAAATATTTTTGAAAAGTCGCAGAAACAATGCTTTATCTTATTTCTCCGCACACCCAATATTTTATCCACTGTTTATTGTCTTCAGCCTGTTTATTTGCAATGAATTTTCAGTATAATCCCATCAACACAAGACGAAAGCTCGGAGAATCGAAGTTCGCCATCCCTTAGCCCACCAAGATCGCCTGTACCATTAGAACCGCTATCAAGCCAAAGTGCTCATTCCGAACCGTCGTTGACACAGATCAATGAATCGGAACCACAGACAAGCAAAGCTGAGAGGCCTGAAAAGAAATTCACACCATTTAATAAAACTTTGACTCTAGAAGAAGAGAATAGACAATTGAAGGAAGCAAGGCTTTGTAAAGTCTGTATGGATAGTGAGGTAAGAGGAAATTTTAGGCATTCTTATTTTTTTAGGCCATTCTGAAAGTTTCTGGATTCTGATCAGAAAGACCAGATAATTATGTTTGTAATATATTTATTGTTTTTCAAAGTACTTTTACTATTCATTCACTTTTGCATTCGTTGGAACCATTGTAAAAAGTAGTGGGTCCAGTCATTCGTAGGAACTTCTAAATTCACTGAACCACGAATAGACAGAACTGCGACGTGGGGCTTCATCACCAAATATCAATTGAAGTCTCTGACAACTCTTTTGTTGACTTAAGCCGCATCGAAAATTGTAGAAAATCATGGACCGAAAATTTTCACGACTGAAATTCATTGTAACTCAACTCACAGTTTTTAAAAGGACGCCACAATGAAAAAACAAGTGACAGTCTCATAAAGTAAAAAGTAACCTACTCCCAGAGAGTTCCTTTTTCAAATTTAGTGTTTGTTTTCTTTTACTTTCTTTTATTATTAAGTTGCCAGTTCTAGGAACTTTCGGTATGCTCCGGAATCTTATTGTAAAAACGTATAAAGTTCCCCATAAAAGAATCGTTTACCTTAGTTAAACGAAGTCGTGGTACCATGAGTTTGGACTTCGTTCTAAGGTTAGTATTATGGATATCTTCTTTCTTAACGAAATTATGTATATTTTTGAATACATGTACTGTGATACCACAGTAATGATACCAGTCTCCTTAAACTTCGTTAAACTTTTTAAACTCGAAGAGAAATACATGCACTTTAATGCTTGGCGTCGCGGTGAAATGAGTTGCCAATCAGCGTAAGGTACTCGCTGATTGTTGCTCAGGTTGAGCAAAATGTGCAGGAAAGTAATGGTACGAGTATATCGTGCGAAGAGGCTTGTGCACCCCACGTTAAATTTTGGGTGTAAAACTACGACCGCAACGCGAATTCTTTACTGGCAGTATGCGTGTATCAGAACATTACAAATGTTGTATCAACTCAGCATGGATTAAACCACTGTGTGTAAGGAATGCACGATTTTTTGCTTTGAGTCGATTTTTTTTATCGTAATGGATTATTATATGCCTCTGAATCGATCTACAGATCGGATCATATGCTGTTGAATTGATCTCATAAAAATCGTTACAAAATTAATGTTGATAAAAAAAAATTGACTGCCTTTTCGGCTTCAGTCGATTACTAGTTTCATTTAGCATATATTAAACCAGTGAGAAAAGACGTTCAGATGGCACAGAAGTTGCGACAATGGTACTTAGATGTTGCCAAACAACCTTAACCTTACGATATAGTTGAGGGTGACTGTTTTGTTTAAATTATGAATACGAACTAAACGATTCGATTCGCCGTAATGTTGAATTGATTTTCTTAAAAATCGCATTGCAATGAATCGATACAAAAAATCGCTAGATCTTGTACACTTAAATCGATCTTAATAAAAATCGAATCGCAATGAGTTAACAGTGTGTTATTTAGCCTTACGGTAAACAATTTAAATAATAATTCTAACCACATTCCGGAATTTAAACAACTTATTTACTAGGCTCAAATTTAGGATTAAAGACAATATCTATCTAATATAGCCATTGACTTACAAATAAATGGACGACGGGTCTAATACAAAAACCACGAAAAAAATGTCCTAAGTCAACCTATTTAAACGTAATGACATGTAAAGGAATATGAAAAAGCTAAAACGTTGAATTTAAATTGTAAAGTCATCGCAGTACTGTCTAATTTTGCTTGCTTCGCTGTCAGTCGAACAAACGAAGACTAAAGCGTGAATGACGCTCTGTATACGATTTTAACGCCCTTATAAGTTCGGACACTTTTTAGCGCGGACCCGACGTCCATATAATTGTAAGTCAATGAATATAGCGCAATGAATTTAGGCATCAAAAGTAAACTTTCCGTCTTTATAGGTTTATATTTTGCCAAAAGAGTTTCCCCATACAAAAATTTTCCATATTGATTGCTCTCTATCAACACAGCATCGTTGTTATCTTTTTGTTACTGTATGTTGATGTGTAGGTAATAATTACTAGAACAATATATTTTATATTTTGTTTATCGCATGATTCATTTTTATGCTTACAACATAAGACAAGGTGAGTCATGATAACGATATACGCATAAAGTGTTTTTTGTGTATGAGCTGTTCTACCGAATGAATTCTTAGAATAAGTTGTTTATATTCTTAGTAAACGTTTTAATCCGTTTATGGCTATTTATGAATAATATGCAAATGTAAATTGGAAGGCTCAGATGTTGGCCATTTAAATTTGAGTGCACTGCAACCGCTAAACACTGGTGTAGCTTACCCCCAGGTGCACGACTTGTTCGTTCCGTCATTTGGTATTATGAAAAAAACCGTTTCCAGAACCAGTGGTGAGCTGGTTCATTTTCATTAGACATAGCGAGTCTTCGTCATGCTTCTTTATTAAACGACTTCAAAAAAGGAGGAGGTTCTCAATTAGACTGTTTTTTTTTTGTATGTATGTTACGCGATAACTCCGGTATTTGTGAACTGATTTTCATGATTCTTTTTTTGTTGGAAAGGGGGTACTTCCATAGTGGTCCCATTTAATTTTGAAGGAAATCATCCACCTCTAAGAGTGGCTGTTCACGCATGAAGATTCATTTTTGTAAATTGCGCCTAAATTTTCTTAAGGAGCAATTATTTTAATGGTTGATTTTGCTATTTCTCCAATTCAAGGCGTTTTTCTCTCAATATTCTTTGAGTAGTGAGAACCGATTTATATTATCTCCAGTGCAAGTCTTGTATAGTGGCGAATTTAAGGATATTTCAATAAAACTTAGCAAATAAATGTAATTCCACATACTTTTGAGGTCGGTTTTTTTAGTACTCTATAACGAGATTATATTTGGTATTACTGTTTCGTTGTTCATAAATTTTTATATATTAATATTTCTCTCTCCTGTTTCATTTGCTTTTTTCATTACTTGTCGCTGACCATTGCTGGAACGGAAAGGAAAGGTTGTAATAAATATTCACCGAATAACACTAAATAACACTTCACCAAATCATCAAATCACCTCCATACAGTTAATCCAGGTGTGTAGTGTTAATAATCTTAAGACTTCAAGTCCCTCTTCCCCCGGTGTTCCTCCTACCCCACCTGACCGTATAACATACTAGAGTGGAGTAATTTCATAATAAAAAAAATCATGTTTATACCTTTTTGAACATGTAGGTAATGATAACCGTTCTGCGTTAGGTGTCGGTGGTGTTCCTGCCGTGCGGGCACCTCGTGTCGTGTGGCGGTTGCGGTGCGGCGCTGGCCGCCTGTCCGCTCTGTCGCGCGAGTGTACGCGCTCTCGTCCGGGCCTATTTGGCGTGACCGCCTAGCGCTGCTCAAATCCAGGTCTGTGGACTACTTTACCCAACATCTATGTTACTTTCCTGTAGTACATTTTCAGTTCAGCGCTGCGGAAATTTTATCAGATCAAGAGAAACTGTTCTTTTGTACCATAGGCCAATTAACAGCTAGTGGTAAAAAAACAGTCACCTTTAGTAGTTTAGAAAGTAGTTTAAATAATGTATACAGGATATTTTGCTTCATGAAGACATTCTATTTTTAGACATAAGTAATGTTGCATTTAAACACTTAAAAATTGCTTGCTTCATCTGGGAATGCAACCGGCCAAATGTGAAAAAAACATGCTGTGCTGTTTTTATGTTGCTTATCGACAGGGCCAATTATATTTGAACATCATCCAATTATACAATTTACACTGTCTAGGTGTTTTGACTCTACATTCAAGTTACCTAATAATTTATGTATGCCCAAAAAATCTCCGCTCATTTAAGATGCAGTGCTCCTGTACAGTTCATATACTTGAACCAAGATGACCTTTTTCCAAAGGAAAACCTCAAGGCACACGCTGATTATGTCATCCGGCATAAAGTAACCGCATCGTCGTGTTTTGCGAAACTTGTATATTACGATTGCGTGCGCCCTGGTTTACTTAAATTTCCGATCGGCAGAATTTTTTAAGATGTAAAAAGCAGCTGTGCAAACTAAAAAGATTCATAATTTTAATGATTGGTAAACTTCATTTAAAATAACAAATAAGTTATAATTAAGTAATTAGCAGGGAATTATTTTTTTCTTTTAATTTCACAATTTTCTTCTAAATGTAAATATTTCTAAATCAATGTTTTCTTTCTAGGACTACAGCACATCGATATAGAGGGCATCATAATAGAATGGTCCTCAATACATTTTGTGCGTTACTAGTTTCTCGTCTTGAATGTCTGTATGTCGTCGGTATGTATTGTATGTGGTATTTATTACGCAGTAAATTATTATGTATTTTTTTAAGTAGGCATTATGACTGTCAGTTTTTATCAAAGAAGTAATTTAACAAATTGTTGACGTCTGATGTTCCTCACTCTTATCACGAAATCTGATAAATATATTGTTTCTATTTAAAATTAGATTTATCAGTTCCTTGAATTACGTTAGTTAATTAAGTAATTTTAAAATAATCCAGTGTTGTAACATTCTCGTACTATTATTAAGTGACTAAATTTTATATAAAACCCGACCGATATATCTGTGGACTTCGGGTCACCTTCCTCTTCGTCTAATGTCACTCCCTCGTTCGCACAGTACCGTCGTTACGGCAACCGTAGGACTAAAACGTCCTTCGATATGTTACTGATGTAATTTCAACTTGATTTCAAAGTTAATCTGACATGTCGCACATAACACCAACTCAAAAATGGTGGTATTGGGATTTGAAATTTAAAAGACAAAATACTGAATGAATTTTATTGCGAATAATGGGATTATTTTTATTTATACAATAATATTTAGCCATCCTCTTATACAGGAGATTATAAAGTTATTGGTTCCGTTTAGTGATTTTTGAACTTTCAAATCGAGTTTTCTCAATGCCACCATTTTTGAGTTACGACAATACTTGGTTTCATATGCGATGTTTTAATGCTGACCATATCAAACCTCACAGTGCTATTTTTCAATAAGTCCACAATTATCTCGGTCAAGTAGTAATTACTATATACTTTTGTTTAAAATAGAATTATTTCAAAATCTACCTGTATGAAGTAGTGTAAAGCATACATTTCATTAGTTCTCTAAATATAGATTGACGAAAACTAATCGCCTAATGCCTAGACCTTCCTGATGTGTGCGTTTGTAAAATGTGTTATATTGTATGTCACACTTTCGCAATGTGTCTGCGTGATAAAATATTGATTGCGTTGATTTAATGAAGTTAACGGGTGACTTGAATAGAAAAACTTAAGCGAGTTAGGAAAAACGGCGTGAGTAGAAATAAAAACCAGTTCGACTGAATAGCGCCAGGATGTAAGTATAAAAATATTTCATGGAATGTAAAGAAATGTTAGCATACTTTATTTTCTATTTTCATGAGATTATACCGTACAATTACTATAGTGTAATCGTACAAGGTAGTCTTCGCTTTAGATAGCGCGAATGGGAGAACAATGTTTCTGCGTAACTGTGTCTCTTTGCTGCGAACTATTTTTGGTGGTACTTGGTCATCTTGTGTGTTAGTATCCTCCATGCACTCACATACATCCCGCTTCTGGGCTACTTTAAAAAAGGGTTTAAATCATAGTCCGCTACTCTGGGCAATTGGGTTTTGGGAACATTCAAATATTCTGAAAAGTTTCTTAACCTTCTACACTATTGGTCACTTGTGACCATGGGCTTTGTGAAGAGCCTGAAACGTTCATAAGCTTGATGGAATAAACGTATATTGTATAAGCGATTTAGGTCCAAAAAAATGTTACTTTTCCAATAAACTGTATATTATAGAGAAATAAAAAAGTCATAATTAAAACCCACGCGTCCAGGGGAATAGCGTGATCCCATATACGATGTATTTATATAGGAACATAGAAACTGACATTTCTCCGAACAAGCCAAGTGTAATACGATAAGACATCCAAATGCCAAGAAATTCGCTAGCAGAGTTGACGACAGACAGCTGATTTATATTTCTTACGGCGGAGAGACAGATGAAGCAGAAACATTGTTCCCATACTGCTACTCACTGAAGGTGTGTATTAGTTTACTTACACCGTGAGGTATTGTGCAGCGTAAGTGCTATTTAGTGGTGTAGTAAGACCCATTTCTACTAAAGCCAAGCAGATATAAGGTTGTGTTATACTACTATTGGTTAGAAGATGAATCGTGTTTTAATTACAAATAGTATTTTGTTATTTTCAATACGTGACCAAGTAGTATGTATAATTTTTTTTAATTATTCAATTTCACCAACTTCTGCTGTCCCAATTTTTTTTTCCGATACAATGAACTCATCCTTATAAGAAACTAAGTCTATTAGCACTAAAAAAATTCAATTTTATCCATTTTGCATAAAAAAATATTTTATAAAATTTGATTGACTTCTGCTATCTCGATTTTTTCGTCCCATAAAATGAAATGATCCCTTCATGAAGCTGAGTCGATCAGCGCTAAAAAAATTTTGATCAATTTTGTTCATTTTTATGGACAACTCAAGCTTGACCATAAAATTAACTATGCCAAAATAGTTTTCATAAAAAAAAGACGTAATGGTTCCTAAGACAGTTTCCTTGTATCTTCTATGGTTTCGAATGTCGCCATACTATTCCATTTAAAAAAAAACTAACCAACCTGTTCTGTGGGTATTGTATTTTTGGTAGACAAATGAGTCGCTTGCACTCCTGTCATTGAGTGAACTATCCACGCTATGCAGCGCTAACCGCTGCACGAGTTACGTTTGATTTTGTCTATTACATACGACAGTACTATCTAATAGTAATGTATATAAATTGTAATACCAAATTAAGTGAAGTATGGATGAGATAAAATTACAAATAAAAAAAATAAAAGTCATTTCCAGGCTTTACATTAACGAAATTGTAAAATTGATCTTCCATTAAGTGATTTAAAAATTATTTAACTTAATCTAAAAATGAATTCAACATTTGAAAATTTTAATTATAAAATTTTATCCAGTGAATTTGATTCAATAAAATTAATAAGTGAGCTTGTGTTATACTTAAGGTTAGAAGACCAAATTGAAGTTTGTGTGTTGTAATACTTATTTCAAAATTTAATAAAAAAAAGGAATAATTGTGTGAATATTGTCTTTGATATGAATTGTAGGAAAGTTTTCGTCGTCGATGCGTGATAATGGTGACAGAAACAAGTGTTTAATGACAAACAAAATGAGGTGGTACCCGATTACAAGCATTAGAGGGTAGTTACCATTAGTTCTATAGAATATGAAGTCATCGGACGACGTGACATTATGCAACAAATCGGTACTACCCGCATAACGTTTTTCGAACAATCAGTTTAGCGACCACATTGAATAGGAATAACGTTAGCGCGTTGCTACATAACTACGCAAAAGGAGTGCTAATTTTGAGAGTTCCTGTTAAACTACGTCGCAAGTGTAAATTTCTTTACATTTCTTTATATATGAGCATTGTTTGTCATTTAATCACGAAATTTGAATAGGGTAGTGTATAAAAACATTTATACACTATCCATTACTTTTGTTAAGCTTTGACGTAATGGATATAACTTTTTTTTGTCGCACTTGTCGAGTCAACGTAATTTACAAGTGAAAAAAAAATTATGAAAGGGGGAATCCAAAATAAGAATACTATGTTAAATAGTTAGTAGCAGGCTGTGGTAATTTTTAGAAAACGAATCGTTCAAAATTGCAGTTTAAATAATTTAAGCATTTTGTGTAGCTTAACCAGTGGCCGAGTGTACCTTGACATGTAGTCCGTCGTACTTTAACAATTCTTGTTCTGTACCTACTAGGTATAACTGTATTTCATAACTTTATTAACATTTAGGGTTGGACCGTGGTTTAGGTGTTTTGTGAAGTATTCTGAGCGCGCTTGCTGCTGAAGCATTCTGATAAAACTCAATATAAAAGACACATTTAGTATGATGCGGATTCGTGCTGACTAGTGGTGTTTAGCCCGTAGCTCTACTTTCCCCATAGCAATATTTAAATAAGTATCATTAGCATTACATAGTTGCATACAATCACAATATCAATTGGTTACAATAAAACTAATATAGGTCAACCAAACTGCGGATAACGTAAACTACGTTTTGTGAAGGAAGCTAAAACTCTTTCGAATATGCAATCTGCTATAGATGTACCTGAATTTCATGGCACTAAATAATAAAAATATCGAACGACTTTCAATCGATAATGTTAACTTGTCACGTGTCAATTTAAAATATGAATTTTGATCTATATAACGTTGAAAGTAACGATTTTGTAACAGTATCGACAAAGAAGCCGCTTCGGTCATATTGTTTATAATGTTTGTCGCAAAATCAGCGATGAATTAGGTCACATACATGTCACAATCCACGATTTAGAAGCAGACCTCAAATTATACCGGTTATTAGGAGTAAGTAGACTTGACTCTTGAAAATATAACGAAGTGATATGTATTTTTTTGTGGGTACTTATTGCAACACTACAGTTGTAGACTATGATTGGTTAAAAAATGAAGTAAATTATTTGAGGCCGCAAAAGTAAATAAATCTATCACCTACGTGATAAAACAGAAGATGGCACAGAATAATGTCAGAAAACTGTAGTCAATGTTACTTACTGCCAAGTGTTATATTATAGCATGACCAGTTAATTGAAGCACTTGAGATTTTAATTTCTTTCTTGTGCACTGCAGTGGGATGTTTATTTACTAAATTTATATTACTATCGTCAATAGACACTTTTTTGTATCATTGTTAAATGTATCAGAAATTACTTATCTCTCTCATTCATACAACTTTAAAAAGTGGACGAGTACACATCAATTCTGGTCAATATAAAGTATTTAATACGTTTTCCCCCATTATAATGATGTTGTTTTCTACAAATTTAAAAGACTTAGTTCGAATTAATATGAAGCTCTAGTACTTTATTACCTAAAAAATTTAACCAGCCTCAACTTGTTTGCTAGATATACGATTTAAATAAAGAGCTTAGCAGAATAATAAAAAAGTTATTGAGACCTGCATTTTTTAAATTGATTTAAAATAAAAGTGCGGTACACATGTTTAAATAATTATCAGCAACACTGCAATACAAAAAAAAAAATCCAAAAAGCAGCAACACTTAAATGTCAAAATATTAAAAAACTTGATTGCAATTGGTTATTTAGATTGTAACGTTAATGACATTGAATCTTATCTGTCAATATATTTTTATGGCATTGGCCACTAGCACAATAGTCACAAAATTACATAATAATCCGTTCCGATCGCTATCCCGATCCTTAACGATTTTCTGGAACTTACGGATTCAAAAAAATTGTTTTAATTCAGAATTTCTAGATTTTGAGAGCCGTTTGCAAAAACCAACTTATAGCCTGATTTAATTTTCCATTTATTTTAGTGCCACTAATGGAACAAGCCTTTTGTCTAAGTGTTTTCAGATTCGGGTGCATCTATTTCTACGTATCATTAGCACATCCCAAAACACTTAAATTTTCGTTATAGCTACCTTGTTCTTACGACATTGTGACATCATTACCTAGTATCATCATAAGTGATCAAAAATTCATAATTTTTTGCCATATTTTATAGAAAACCACATTATTACATTTTAATGAAGAAAACATTATTTAATAGTTGTTTACATTCTTCGCAGGTTGGATTGAAAATTTCATATAGTCTGATATGTATTCAAGTAGTCTTAAATAAAAGGATAGTTTAGCGAAATCGTAACATGTTAATTTTTAATTCGTCGTGAAGAATAATAAATCACCAAAGGTATTTCCAGATTTGAACTTTGTGCAAGTACTACTTAACTAGTACTACGTAATTATTAGTACTATGCAAGAATCCAAAACTTCGCGATTATGTATTGCATTCTTATTAATCTGTTGTAGCTTATAATGATCTGATAAAATAAGTGGAAACCAAATAGCAATGCAGTGGTGCCTACACGTATATACCAGACGTTTTTTAAGATCTGAAGTAATTGTATGTTAACTTTAGGATATTCGGCCTTATTCGACCGACACTGCCAATCGTCGTGTGTAAGCACCATAAGCCTAATATTAACGCGTATTTATAGTATGACGCTTATAGCAAATATTTTGACTGCACTAAAATGAGGCAAAAATAGGCAAGTATACATTGTATACGTATAATGTATAGGTACATGCATGTTTTGCGATCTATACAAAATTAGCTTTAGACACAAGCTACAACAGCAGTGTATCAAAATAAGTAGGTAAGGAAATAAAAAAATACACTACACAATTTGTAATGCAATGATTTTCTGATATGTCGCCAGAGGGCGCTAATAGATATAAGCGTTACCATTATTTAGGCATTTCTGCGCTTTTCGTCCTTGCTTGCCTCGTTTTTAGTGCGGGCAAAATATTTGCTGTGACATTGAATTAAAATCTACCCTATTAATGTTAATGTAGTATGCTTATGTAGCGATTAATTCAATTTATTTAATGTATTATGATATACTATAAAGAAGTTAAAACCTTACTGTAAGGTTTTTAATATTGCTTGTTTTATTTTATTCTCTTCGGATCTTTTTATTTATTATTATTTAGCCAATCAGAATAACGACAAAGTTGCACGTATATCACTCAATTGCACAAATATGCTGTCTCAAGCTGTTTTTGCTTTGATAAAGGAAATCACATACTCTAAGTTAAAGACACATTAAATATTCGCAAACATTTCTGAAACTCGCCATTTATCAATAAATATAATGGCTTGTTGCGTCAAATATGTCGGCATATCATGACATTTAAATTGAACTCTATGTCACATACGATAAGACGTTCCAAAGTCTGAATTGTGAGTCCAACGTTGACATTAAGTACATAAATGTAAAGAAAACAAAAGTACCGCCCCAATTAAGTTACGAACCTCCTAATTGGATCCTTTGTAGTTCACCCAAAGTGGTAGTTCATAAAGCAGCATTAAAACGCTCCACTTGAAGACGTCGTCATTTTATCAGATCAAAGGCTTTTTTTGGTACAAAGGTGAAGTGCGTGTGAGTTTCGCTATGTGGCAGCGCCACACGACGTCTGGCCCTAAATAGAACGCCGACAGAGCTCGAAATAACGCAGACTGCACCATCGTTGGCGACGATTTGGGAACTGTATTAATGCACACCTTACCATAGAATATTGAACATGAAATCCGTCTAGACGTATGCTTTCATTTTGTTGTTAGCTTGGATATAAAGAGATGGAAGCAACTGGAGACTATTTATTCCTTGCGTACTGAA